TTGTTTGATGATCTGAAACATTACAGTGTGACAAACATGCAAAAAGATAAGAAATCAGTAAGGGGGCAAACACTTTTTCACACCACTGTACATGATCAACAGATGAAAACAAGATTTACAGACGTGCTCGATGGTATGTGGGTAATTTACAAATACCAGTGTGAACAAATGCAAAACAACAACATAGAAATAAACATCACACCTTGAATAAACCGATAATTTACGTTTGTATTCAACTTTGAGAAAATAAACATAATTTACGTTTGTATTCAACTTTGAGTTCATAAACCTGTTAAAGTTTGTTCCGATGTGCAGATAAATATCCAAGTCATCTTTCATGTACCTACAGATGGTTAAATGTGTGTGCACAGATCACAGGCTTCATTTTGTGAAGAGCTCAGACTCTTTAGTCTCTGAACCTGCTGGTGGGAAACTTGGGCGTCGGACGTTTCAGTTTTCATGTGCAACTTCAACGTGTTTTTCCATGAGATGAAACATCTCGTCACACTGCGATGAGACGTGTTTTTACATGGAGGACTGAAGTGTCATGTGGCTTTAGCTTCTGTCACAGACTGTAGGCAACATACAGACACTCAGATGTCAGTTTATTAGGAACAGCTCTCTCAAACCAAGCCAGTCTGATCCATCAGTCCTGCAGTAAACCCTCCTTCATGAAGGTGATCGTGTTCAGTTTGTGTTTAGACTGTTTCACTGAGGTGTTGGTTCACCTGTGTGGTCACTGTGGAGGTTTGTGCTGCTGTTCACCTGCAGTGTGTTGCACTGAGAGCTGTTTGTGTTGTTTTATCTATGACATCTCATTGGGGCTGTGGTAACAAGCAGAAACACCTCTGGGCTCTTTCAGGTCCTTTCCTTCTCCAGCATTCACATTCAGAAAAAGGAACCAGAATACTTCTAAGGTACTTAGTGCCTTACCCAGGTTGAAGTTACACATGAAAAAGCAGAACAGTCAGATGTTTTCCACCAGCGCGTCCTGTCCACACTGCGCCACGACTTCAGAATGTTTGTGTGGAAACTCACTGTTGATGAACCAGATGGTTGCCATGGTGACAGAGAAGAAGGTGTCCGGATGCATGGGCACGTGGACCAGAGCAGCAGTGAGGGAGAAGAGGAGGAAGATGACGACCAGGCTGAAGGCCACCCGGATGCGCTCCCTCACCCTGCAGACAGACGAGAACAGTCATCAGTCGGATCTAGGAGCGAACATGCACCGGGTCTGGTCTGTTCACACTGCTGTGGACACACCGCGTCCGGGAAGCTTCAGCTGGGATGTGGACTCAGCCTGACTCACCACTGATACAGGAAAGAGTTGAGCAGGGTGAACAGCAGCAGGGGCAGCTGGGAAAGCAGCGCCATCCAGCTGTCATAGTTGTAGTCTTTAACTGTGGGGCCTGACGTGCCATTGGAGGTGACGTTGGGGCCCGCGAGGCGCTCGTTGAAATACTTTAACGGAGAGGAATAAAGAAAACTCGTTTAACAGCTTAAGATGATGACAGCACACGTCCACATCACAGGATAACAGACGAGACAATGATCTAAATGAATTTGTTTCTGAATGTTTGGTTTCTTTGACTTGAAAAAAAAATCTTCTGTCAGTCTGTGGCATTTTACAGACCACATGAGCGTGTGATTAATCTAAAACTGACTCATTGCTTAGTGGCAGCCTGGGTCTGACTCACAGCAGTGAGGTCGGAAAGCCCCGAACTAAAGGACTCGTTTCACTATTCATGTGTAGTACAGTAGCTTCCTGTACTAAAAACATGTGTCCCGTCTCAGGTCGTCCTATTTAAAATCCAAGTGTCTTCAGGGGGCACATGATGATTTTGTCTGCCGTGATGATGATGGTGAAGGTGTGAGAGTGAAACCTGAGAGGCCGTGATGAAGAAGTTCCATGGCAGCAGGGTTCCCAGACCAAGCATGAAGAAGACGAGGGCCACAGCTTGACCGCTAGAAACAAAACACCGTCACAACCGGAACTAGTTTCATGTGGAAATTATTAAATGTCTTTATTGTAAAACATGGAGCTGACCGGTCGGCAGGTGGACTCTGTTTCTTCTCGTTCCACATACTGTAGCTTCTGAAGGTCTGGAAAAGGCTTTAAACAAAGGGCAGCGGCTTAGAGAGGCATTTGGGGGTTTTCCATCTTATAAAGGAGATTTAAAACAATCTCATATAACTCGGTGTCTCTACTTTTGTCCACTCTCATCTCTTTGACAAAACACATGTTTCAAATGCAGGTTGACGGTGACCTGACACCGTCTCATGATGTATTAGTGCACAACACCGCCCGAGATGTAAGTCAGGTCCATTTACCAAAGGAAATGCACTGAAAGATACAGTGAACACGCACTGTGCGCGGTCTGGGGCCAAACAGTAACGTTATAGAAGGTACTTTGGTCTTTTCGGCTGAGACTACCTGCACACGTGTCACAGTGCGAGTCTTTGCTCTGATCATCTTCCCGTGGAGCAGGATGTGACTCATCAGTTGGCATCACAATCTCCACATGGCGCCAATTTATGTACGTTTCCTGCCCACAGCAGAAAACACACCACCGGGTTTCTTTAATATGTTCGATACATGGTTGAATAATATTCGCCGGTACCTGCTGCTTCCGTTTCCAGCCCGCCTCCTCTGAGCGCCAGCGCGTCTGGACGGAACCAACCTCCGATTAACAAAACGAGACGAGTCGAGTTGTGGACGTGAAGTTTGGATATTAGACTGATTACAGGAGCCCGTCCTAGGCCCATTTCCTCCTGGGTATTAAAGCTGTAGATAACCTGTAACGCGCCTCACATGTGTAATTAACGCGCCTTCGTCCCGTGTCAGTGGCGCTTTTACGCACGACGTAACCATTCAAACCTCCGTTTGAGAAACATTAATAATTAGGCTACAACGACAAAGAAAACGCAGACGGAGCTCACCTGAGTCGGAGCGGCTCCCGGGTCGGACAGCTGCTGTTTGAACTAGTGATGTGTCGTTGGCGAACGAGCCGGTTCTAAGAGCCGATGCTTTGTAGCGACCGAGAAGAGCCAA